ATTAACAGTTTTAATAATGTAATTGGTTTTTTATTGCTGTAGTCTGTAAAAATATTTTTGTAGTCTAATCAGTTTAATGAATTAATAGGCTACTGTTGTAATCTAATAGAACAGATCAGGATTAAAACAATAATTAACCACTTCCTTTTCCCCTAATTTCTAATTGGTTAAAACTTATTTAAAGCCGTTACAACACTTAATTTCCAGCCTCTCCTACTTTATAGCTAATAATATCAACTAGCATATCACTTATAATATCACTTTAATGAACCAGCAACTTTTAATAAGTTAATGAAGTCGTAATAACAACAACAACTTTAAAGCAATATAATAAAAACAAGGAATAAACAAGATTACACGAACAGACAGTATTACAATATAGGAGAAAAAATTACCGCATATAATTATTATACAAATGACTAATATATATATACCTATACGATAGCGAAAACAATAATAATGGATAGTTTTGTTGCTTACACCGAATCGAAGGTCTTGTATTCACCGGGACTGACTTCCAAGTTTTACATGTTTGTCGCTGGTGGAGTCGCACCGCTTTACGGGACGAGAGCAGAGCAAGAGCATGAGCAGACTGCAGGATGTGGGTATGAAGCCCGGTTAAAAACGGTCCTTTTGCCCCCTCATGAGGACTGAGGAGTAGTCTACTACTGGAGACGGCGTGAACTAGATCTAAAGCTTCATTCAAATGATCTTACTGTCCTCAGCTTTTGAAGGAGCGACAAACACCCTTAAAATCAAATGACTTTTGTTTTTGACAAAGTTTCTTTCCATCAGGAGTCACGTGCGAGTACATTCTTCTCATAAACATCATCATTATTAAGGGTTTGTATTAATTTATAAAGCTTAACGAACTCTATAGACAGCCTGTCAGACAGTTCACCTTAACCTTAATTCTGACCTGATGCTGACCTGACCCTAATCCTAATTTAAAGGCTTACCTTGAGGAGAAACAGACGTTTAAGATAATGTTATTTAGCCTTTAGTTTATCTGACCTAAATTACTGCAATGCAATAAACTTAAGTGATTTTTACCGCAATAAAAAAACATACACCATGAAACTAAATGACTTTTGAAAAAGGCTAAGACAAATTATTTTTATATTTATTTTTATTTGCATAACTTGTAAATCCATACACAGCTACATTTTTTGTATTGTTTATAAGATAGACACTGCTATTAGGGCTGTAATACTGTAGCCATATAAAACAGCTAAAATAAACATTTAAAAAGATTATACATAATACAAAACATAGCAGAACAAGCATCCCAAATATCTGCATGTAGTTGCATTCTGTGTGCTGTATACAGTACTGTTTTTAAACACACCATATTCTCTCTGTAAGACCTGAAAACCAAGCCAATAAATCAGCTCCTGACTCATTCACAGCCTACCTGTATGTTTACATCTCATTAACAAGCCCTAGTCAATAAATTTAGCAAACTAATCTTCAGGAAGTGGTTTAGCTTAGGAAACATGCCTGTCACAGTGGGTGTTATTGTGACTGTAAATACATTTCTAAGTAAAGAGCCAGTCATTAGGACGCCATTGACTGATGTGCACATTATGCTTGGTATGTGGGCTTGATTCAGCATATTAAAATTCAGTGGATTTCAGAATATCACTCCACCAGTGTCAGCGCCCAAGCATGACATCATCAAACCAATATGCCTGTATATTTACACATATTTTTAAAAAAATGCAGGTGATTTTTTACAAGGATGTCAACTTAATGTATTACTCATCAGCAAACCGACAGTTGGTCCTTATCACATATCTGCTGAATCATCTGTGCAACTTCGGCCAACCTCATAAATACACACAATCTAATCAGGCCAAACTGGCTTTCTTGTACAAAGGCACTTTCCAAATAACTACAGACTAAATTACTGACTATGCTCCATCTTACACAGTAAGACCTCACAAGTCCCTTGTATGGCTGAAGGTTTTTTTTTGTTTTGTTTTCATATGTCAGGTGATGCCTTCACAGGTTGCTCGGTGTCACCTGTGCTTTTGATTTTTTGATCCTGTTCATCCTTTTTGATGAATGCCATTGAAGTATTGGCTGAAGCCAGACGGGCTCGACCTGGGGAACCGGGGCTATCGACATTAATGGCGGGTTTGGACATCCAGTGCAGGATGCGTGTGGAGGGACGGTGGTGAACAGCGAGTTGGCGAGAGCTGTATCCAGACATTGCAATTCCCAATGCACCCAGAAAAACAGCCACCCGCGGCACTACGAGATTGTGAGCTCTTTGGGTCACAGTCTGTACGACGGACGTCTGAAAGAGAGTGGAAATCAATGGTTATATTGTATGATGAACTGACAAACATTAACCTTCAGGTCACGTTCAATTAGAAACACCTTAACCTGTCTGACTGATGACTCATTTAGTTTGGCTGTGAAATATGAAATGGTTAAATAAAGAACTCACTAAAGTAAATCATCATGATAATTCTGTAACAACTTCAAATGGATTGTAATTACAACAGTTTTCTAATGTTATAATGGCCAATTAAAGGCCTAATTTGAGATAATAGCGATTGAAATCAGACCATGTGGAACGTTGACGTTCAGTTAGAAACACCTTAACCTGTCTGACTGATGACTCATTTAGTTTGGCTGTGAAATATTAAATGGTTAAATAATTAAAGAACTCACTAAAGTAAATCATCATGATAATTCTGTAACAACTTCAAATGGATTGTAATTACAACAGTTTTCTAATGTTATAATGGCCAATTAAAGGCCTAATTTGAGATAATAGCGATTGAAATCAGACCATGTGGAACGTTGTAAAAATTCTTGAATTATAGAACAAAAAGATTATTCACTATTACATCAACATCCAGTAAGCTTTATGAGTTTAGCCCTGCAGTTCTGCCCCAATTTAGGTGTAAATACACATACATATACAAAACTATAAACATCTGCAGATGATTCTTTAAGTTTATCAAAGTTTTTTTTTTTAATTCATAAGATTCTTTTACTCACCTGCAAGTAGCGGATGTGTCCTAAAGCAGGACGTGGAGACCAAAAAACATCAATTTAGTCCCTAGGCCTCGAAGCTTTGTTTGTGAGCAGGACTTCTTCCTCTGGTTCCTTGTTTCTCTCCTTCTGAAAGAAGGAGGTTTCTCAGAGGATAGAGCTCACTCCGGTTGGACTGCACGTCTATCACTGTCTTGCTCTGATCAGAGCTTATATAGAGAGAGAGGCCCCGTCTGTCTGTCTCTGTCTCAATGAGATTACCAAAATGAGGCTAGCATGCACTTGTTGGACATGCTAGTTATGACGACAGTGGCAACTGTGAGGGATGCGGGGTTAAGTTGTTGTGAAGGACGACATCCTTGTATAGCCTGGCATGTGTAAAGCCGGAAAGGGCTATAAAGTCTAGTCACACAGGTCAGAGGTGACCCAGTTATCAGAACAAAAACAAAACAAAACTAAATAAAAAAAAAAAAAGTATAATTTTGAATATATTTATTTGAATATGTTTTAAAATTGTATTTATTCCTGTGATGAGTGCTCAATTTTGTGTCACATGATTCTTCAGAAATCATTCCAATATGCTGATTTGGTGCTCAAGAAACATTAATTATCAGTGTTGATAACAGTTGTGATGCTTAAAGGGGTCATATGATGTGATTTCAAGTTTTCCTTTCTCTTTGGAGTGTTACAAGCTGATTGTGCATAGATAAGATCCCTGAAGTTGCAAAGACTAAAGTCTCAAAACCAAAGAGATATTCTTTATCAAAGTTAAGACTCTGCCACGCCCCCCTAACTACAATAATGTACAGTATTTGAAAAATAATGTGTTTTTTGAACATTAAAGCAAGTCAACATATTCTGTTACACCAAATACACAAAATAATGATCTTTAAAAAAGCATCATATGACCCCTTTAATATATTTTTATTTATACAAGAGGCTTTATTGTAGCTCAAACATTAATGTAATGCAATAAATGCAATGGAAAGGGATATTTTTTTCTGACCCTACGCTTATGGATGCTAGTGAAGATCCTAGAAAGGGATTTAAAAACAGTATATCGCAGATGTTTCTGCCACCATTTTGTCTCACCTAGTTAAATATCTGTTTGTTGCTACACTTCGAAATGAACCTGTCTGGAGTTTTGCCTCAGGGTAGAAAACATAATAAACAGGGGACGGCAGAATATTGTCTTTCCCAACACAGTACTATAGATCCTTTAACCGCACAATGTTTTATCTGTCTCAGGGCCTCACTGGGGACTGACAAATCTTGTGTTTTATGAGGACCTGTTAAATAAATAGGCCTCACTCAGTGGCAGATCATTTAGTATGTTTAAATTAAATTGCTTTTCCGAGCACTTCTGACTGGCAGATATTCGCTCCACCTCTTTGCAGGATTGCCTCTCATCTTCTGAGTGGATATTCAGTCCTGATCCATAAACTGTAAACCAATAAACTGTGATATTAAAGCTGCAGTGAGCCTTTAGTCTGATATGCTGCATCTACTGCTAAAACAAGATGATTAGCTATTTTATTTCGTTCTTTTCAGCTGCTACTGTATAATACCATCATCACACCTGCTGTGTCCTCCACACCATATTCCAGCTGGTGTAAGGAAATATTTCTGAGAGAAATGGCAGGGCTATTATTTCCCAACACTGTAACATAATGGGACGCAATAAAAAATTATTCTGTCTGAGCCAACCCAGATGCATGTGATCCTATAATGGCAAGTCTATGCTGTGGGTTGCCTTGTGTCGCAGATTAGCACAAACACACGTTGCAGTCTAGAGACGCTTGTATAGCTAAAGTCATTCTTCCTTGACGTCATGGATAAGCCATCGAATCAGTTTAAATGGATCATAGTATGTAGTGCACTGCAGGTAGGTATATCAAACAATCACTGAAAACAAGCACACCTCTGTTTTTCTTTCACAAATTGAATTAAAACTTTAATAAATATCTTTATAGACATTTTTCTAGTCACACTGATGGTCACAGTGGCTTGTCACATTGATGGCCCAAAGTAGCTCATTGAATCGAAAAAGAAAATGTAAATCAGGCACTGGTTTGGGTAAATGATGTTAACGAGCAGTTTAGTGCATAAAAGCTTAAATGTCATGATCCAAAACAGGCTGTGAGATCAGCGAGGAGCTACTGACGTTCTGATGTTAAGATAATTAGCCGCTAAGAGGCTAAACCACAGACTCCTCATAATGAGCTGAGGAAGAACGTTGATCCAGAGTCACGGTCAATAATAATACTTTAGTGTTTGTCTTGCAGTAATATACGTCTCTGGGAGTGTACTGGTGCAGTGTGAAGAAAGAACGAGCAGCAGAGAATGTGTAAAAATATCTTTTTCCTAAGTAATTATTAATGTGAAGGCAGGATAAACTAAAGTACATGATTCTGGGTCTTCAAAATGAATCCAAATTGTTGCTGAAGCTGATTGATCCCGAGTTTCTTGAAATCCTTGACTATAAAACAGCATGACTGAAGATCTCTTACATAATGAGACATTACAATCAGGGACCTGCTGGTTATTCAGTCATTTTCCTCTCAGGCGCTGAATCTGGGGGCGTCATGTCCTCTGCTGTCTCTGCATGGGCAGAATCTCTGCCAGCCAATACTCAATAAGTGTGCAGACTACTGAAACCTCATCTGTAAAACAAGAAAGAGAAAGAAACGATCACATAGTAAATGTGTTTTCTCTAAGGTTTTTTTCTAAGGTTTTATTTATTTATGTTTTCTTCTGCCTGAATTTGATTAATATCTTGGCCAGATCTCTCTTGTAAAAGAGATTAAAATCACAATGGGGCCAAATAACTGCTATATAATAAAAATTGCTTTAGTGAAATGCACCATGGCACCTGTATTTTCATACAAATTTTTGTTATTAGGAAGTCTGAGGGAAACCACAAAACAGAGTAACAGGGTCAATGACCTGCTGGTGGAAATAATGGTGTATGGGTGAAAAAAAAAGGATAAATGGTATGTCCTGTGGTTGTCGTGGAGACAGAGGCTATGTTTAGGAGTCACCATGGACACCGGTGGAATGTCCTGAATCCGCTGGGTGCTTGTAGCTCCTCAGGAAAACACTGATCATCTTGTTAAGGTCTAATCTGACTTCACAAACGCACGTACACATACATGCATACATACATTAAAGGTCATGCAAAAACACTATGGACACATTCTTTGTAAACGCAGATTTTGTTAAGTCTATAAAGCCAGTCTGCAATTTAATTGAGTGGTATCTGTTTTTTATGTTTATAAAAGAAGTCTCTTATGCTCAACAAAGCAGCATCTATAACTATCTATCTATCTATCTTTTTGTTTTCCTCATTTCAATACATGAATAAAAGTATTATCTTCTTTCAAAACGTTTGACCTCAAACTTTTGAACAATGGTATATCTGTGGGCATTTTAGTTGTAAAAATGAACATTTAGCGTAAAAGTCTTTTGGCAGTAAGATCAAATAATGAGTACAGACATGTAAAAATGTAAAAAATGTGGCTACTATTACTTTTTCCTTGGAGTTGTATTCTATTGTTTGCAACCATCACTATGAATCAAAAACACATATGCTTGATGTTCAGACATGGGAGGTCCAAACACCCGCACTCACCTGCATGTAATGTGCTTGTGTGTCTGAATTCTTGCAGCTGTGATTTTAACTGCCCTTCATTCTTCACCAGTACAGCCCTAAGTCCACACAGCCTAGAGATCTCAGCAGGGGGCAGCGTCCTGCCTGAGAGACGAGAGAACAGAGCCTCCGCTGCAGTGAGGGAAAGAGAGGGGCCGCTTTCTACACAGGAGCCTGAAGAGAAGAGTAGCAACATTTACGTTTATTTTATTGCTGTTATATATACATATATATGAATAAACATTTATCTAACAAAGATGCATTATATTTTTTTACATAGTGGCATTAGTGGTAGTGTATATTTATACCCGCAATGTCCTTTATATCCTCATTAATAAGGAAAAAATATATATAATAATTTAAGTGTATAGTAAAATGTTATACCAGAGTATTTGAGATCAGAGAGGTAGATCTCTTGTGTGGTACGAAGGAAGTCGAGCACCTTCTCTGAATTTACATCTCCTCTCTGTGCGTACGTGAATTCAACAGCTCTTGCTCGAGGCACCAATCCAAGAGCTTGGACTTTCTCTTTGTGACGTTTTTTCTTCATCTTCCTCTTTCTGTTCTTGCTGAGCTGCTCTGTGTTGACTGAGCTTCCAGTGTCCCCTTCATCACTGGGATGTGCAGCATCTGTCTGGCCCAGTACAGCGCCCTCTGCTGGAGGGGTGGACACTTCCTCTGTGGTATTGGGTAACACTTTTTTCTTTCTCCTCCTTTTCCTCTTCTTACGTAACTCATGGTCATCAGCATCTGAAAAATCAAAAAATGGCTCATTGGTGAGGAGGATTATGGACTTTCTCACAGCATTAGAATTATTACAAAGGGTTTTTAAATCCGACAGGTTCAGGCTCCATTCTCTGGAGGAAGAAGTTTAAAGTGGCTGATTTGCCATGAACAGATTTAAATAAATTCACTATAACAACTGAATGACATCAGTTACAGCCTCATTACATTTATGCTCTTGGTAGACTCTGTCAAATAAAAATCATCCTACAAGAAATGTGCATGTACTATAAGAAGCAATTACCAGAGTGGATAGTGCACACACACACACACACACACACACACACAAACACAAACACACACACACCTTTGCCCTTTCAGTAGTTTTCTGCAGGCATTTCAAGCTCCTCAGGATGATACAAACACACTGAGATGTGCCGAGCTATTGATTTTTTTCATCTGTATTCAGAGCCGAGGAACTGACCGCACATCTGAGCAGCACACCGCAGGAAGCAAAGATTCAGCTCATCAGCATACAGCTCATACAATGAGACCAGTTTGTAATAAAGGAGGGATGAGTGAAGCCTCAATAACATGGACAGTGTGTGTGTGAGTGTGTGTGAGAGAGTTGTGAGCGAAATTTTGCCGCTCTGCAGGTCCATTGAGGTCTATTCAGATCAATAGCAACAAAAAGATGGTAGGAGGAGGAAATCTGCAGAGCTTTTTAGTGAAAGAGGAGAGGAGTACAACATGAACACTAAGCCAAACACTGCATCTGAATTAAAAGACTCGCAATTGTGGGATGATTAAAGTGTAATAAAAAAATGTCACCACCTATGGAGAAGGTGCTTGGTTTTGTCATATTTTGGATGGTATTACAATTACATTTCATACAGGACAAATACACATTTCCAAAGGATGTTACAAAGGATGTTAAACAGACCCTCAATTTGGTAAACTCATCCTGTCAATAGAACAGGAAAAGCAGGAAAGAGTCTCAAATTGGCCTAAATAAAATGTCACAAATGATCAGAGCAAATCAATAATCTGAAATAATCTCAATCTCTGATTACCTTTTGTTTGTGTGATTTAAACATACAAATTACTCATTTTGAGTCTTTTTCAAGATGAGAAATCCAAACTGTTTTTGAATAAGGTTGTTAATTCTGAGTTTTTATTCTGGTGATTTGATCATCTGGATCCACAACAAGAGATGCACAATTAAAATAAACAAAAAAAAAAAAAGAAAAAATCACCAAACTTAAAAAACAACAACACATCAGACAAAATAATTCAAAAGTAAAATATAAATCAGGATATCAATATACAGCTGCAGAATGGCTAATATTATCTGCAGTGACTAATAATATGTCAGTATTATTTGCAGGCATTACCAGGATCACTTCACCACAACTACTGATATCCATTTCCTGCTGGAGAGTGTGATTAAAAGAGAAATAAAAGGAGGGATGGTGATGTTTTTCATCTAAGAGATAAAGTGTTATTAATCAGATACAAGAAAGTTGTTAACAACTCACCGGCTGGGCTGTCCTCGGAGTCAGTGGGATCTGGATTGGATGGTGCGACCAAATCCTCCCCACTATTAATGAGGTAGCCTTCAGGAGGAGGAAGAACAGTGTAGAGCTTTTTGCCTTGTACAGCTGTACACTTCTCATTACCTAAAAGAGAGAGAGAGAAAAAAAGAGCAGTCAATTCCCTTTGTTAAAACTTCAAGGGAATACTTTGCCCAAAAAAAGAACATTTGCTGAAAATGCACTCCTCAGGCCATCCAACGTGTAGATGAGTTTGTTTCGTCATTAGAACAGATTTGGAGAAATCTAGAATTACTTACTCACCAATGGATCGTCAGAAGTGAATGGGTGCCGTCAGAATGAGATTTCAAACAGCTGACAAAAACATCAAATAATCCACAAGTAATCACTGCAGAGGATCTACTGGTGAGAACGTGATGTAATGCTAAATTTATCCAAATCTGTTCCAATGAAGAAACAAACTAATCTACATCGTGGATGGCCCGAGGGGGAGTAGGGGAGTGCATTTTAATTTTTTGGGTGATCTATTCTTTTAATGACTTAAGCAAGTATGAAGCAAACTCTGACCTGACTTCTTGGGTGGGATGGACTGAGGTCTTTTTACAGGTGGCACAGGTGCAAGTATGCTCCGCTCCTGGGCAGCAGGTTGCAGCATACTCTGCTCTTGGGCTGCAGGATATAGTCTTTGCAGGACCTTGGACTGGAATACTAATTTAGAACATGTATATAATTTTACAGTACTTTTTATATCCCAAGCATGGAAGCTAAATGAATAAAGCTCGTTTATAGTCAAGCCCCTGATGTCAACAAAAAGCAAGTGCAGGTTAACTTACAAGGATCTGTAGCACGTGAGCAGTGTAAACATTTAAATATAGTTTTATTCAGTGCTTCTTTCTTACCTTCTTTTCTGACGGACATATCAGCGGCAGAAATGTATAACCTTTTTCCTCAAGAGTATACAAAATTTCACACCATTATTATAATTACAATATACTTTTCGAACAGGTGTAAACAGTGGTGAATGGTAAGACGCAGCTCAAGTTTTCCATCTTTAATTTATGACTATTTTAAACATTTAATATGGATCCAGGATTTAAAATGTAGCGCATATAAGAAAATGAGCAAGAAAATCGCACACATATGCCATAAACTGCTGCTGCTTTCCGTTGTCGTACTTCCGACCTCACCATGATGGCGGCTGAGCGTGCGACGTCCTGAACTCCGCCATCCAGCGGCGCGGACAAGCGCTACAGCAGCTCCAGGGAGCACCGCATCTGCTGAGCACATGCACTCTCAAAACTTCGCTGCCATCCTCACCATGTAGCCGCGAGCTCAAGGAAAACCTAGAATGTCCGCGTGGAAGAAGGTACGTTCAGCAAACTGTGCATGCCTGTTTCTTGAAACGTGCAGAAGAAAACTAAAGTCTACTCTACTCTACTCTCTGTGTGCGGCGGCGCGCGGGATGCAGAGCTCGGCATTACATCACTCACCTGCCGAGAGAAGGCGTGACACTTTCACCTATTGTATTTCAAGTGGATTCAACCAAAATTCCGAACATTTGCTTTTCTAGGTTTGACAGAAATGCAACTTTTATCTAAGTTTATTTAACAATGTATTTAACATTCTTGAACACTGATCATGACTTGTAAACGACTTCTTACCGTCTTTGTTTATAACTGGCTAGTGCAATTTTTAAAACTGCTAATTATCCATACTTATTATGCATGCAAGATTAAATATGTATATCTAAAACAACATTTTGTAGTGTAGACTCATATGCAAACTGTACTGATACAGTCATCCAGTATTAGGTTATATCTATCCATGGGTAAAGGTCAAATTCTGAGAATTAATAATTGAAACAGTTTAACTGATCAACCACAGATCTGAAAATTTGGGGTGAGAAATTCCTCATGTTGCACTTACTCGATGTTGGGAAAACATAAGATTGTAATTATTACAATTCAAATACATTTCTTAAAGGGGTCATATGATGCGATTTCAAGTTTTCCTTTCTCTTTGGAGTGTTACAAGCTGATTGTGCATAGATAAGAATCAGATGATGTTGGATATTTAACTGTGCACGCAGATTTCCAATATTATTTCATGAAAATTACGTTTTAACTCAAAGTTAATCTTTAAAAACACTAAGACTTTAAATGTGATCTTTTGCAAATCCCAAAATGAATGTACATTTTTTATAATGTACATTATAATGTTGCGAAGCCTACATTTATAAAATGAAGCCACCTGTAGCATTTATAACAATTAATTTTAGTTATAGTATTTTATTTTAATTTATTTAGAATAAGTAGTATGGAATTTAATTATCATCCATTTATGAGTTATTGGCCATAACATAATTATTCAGTATCAGGGCTAACCTATTACAGTCAATCAGTGTTGTAAAGAAAAATTCACCTTTGTTGAGATGGCATTCACACCTCAGTCCAGTTGAGAAGTAATGGATGCTGTTGGGTTAACAGTGGAAGGCTGTGGCTGTGTGTGTGTACAGTTGAGAAGTAATGGATGCTGTTGTGTTAACAGTGGAAGGCTGTGTGTGTGTACAGTTGAGAAGTAATGGATGCTGTTGTGTTAACAGTGGAAGGCTGTGTGTGTGTACAGTTGAGAAGTAATGGATGCTGTTGTGTTAACAGTGGAAGGCTGTGTGTGTGTACAGTTGAGAAGTAATGGATGCTGTTGGGTTAACAGTGGAAGGCTGTGGCTGTGTGTGTGTAGCTTTTGCTGGAAAAGCTTAAGGATTCCAAGATTGCCTCCTATCGTAAACTCACTGCAAATGTGTGAGTGTGTGACTGCAAGAGAGCAAATTTGACAAAATATGCATCCATTATCTAAGCTGTTCTCTAAAATGACTCTAAAGATGCCCATTTTAAACATATTACATAAGCCAGCAGCAGATGCAGTACAAAGCTTCCCAGATGCAGCTGTCTGTCAATGTAAGTGCAGGGTGCAGCATTCATTTGCAGTTTCAAACACCGGCTCTACAGAAATAACTCAGACTGGCAGATTCAGCCTTCTCTGTATCTTGCACTTATGCTGATAGACAGCACATATAACTTGGGATCTGAAGGGTTCTGTGGTCCATGCTGAGAGTTTATTAAAGCTTCTTGTATAGCACCCTTGCCTGTAAATATCTTTAAACATTGTTATTCAGTTCAGTGACTTGACTTCAAATCGGTTTAACACAGGTGTGGAATTTTGAGTTACTTGGGATGCAATCAGTGATGAGCCAATATTAGCACGTGTTCAATTATTGTTGACCATTTCACCATTATTTAGTATTAGCAATTTCAGCATTGTAATTAGAGTTTAATGTTGGTTTAATTGGTCAGTTGCAATTTCTGCAGTCAATTTTTTTTCTGTTTTAATGAGCTCTAAACTGCATATTTGACCAAACTTTAATAGTCCATCCCTACTACAGGTTATGATGCGGTTCATAATGCAGGTTCCTCTATTGTTCTTTCCCTAGTTGTCTTGGAAGTGAAGCCTTTTGAATAAAACACTCCATGGGATTGCCTTTATTTTTAGCTCATATCTGGAACCATAAAACATTATGACAGGAGAACTCATGGACATAGAGGCGCAAGATGCTTTTCGTGTTTCGCATGTGTGCTTGTGTCATCAGTTTGAATGGCAGCTAGTGTTTCTGTGTGTGTGTCTGTAAGCTATGTGTAGTTGCTTCTCCCATTCATTATGCAGGCATGTGTTAGTGCTTCAGTGGAAATTTTGCTGCCCGGCAGATAAGTAGGAAATAGCGAGAGGATGACATGAAAATGAATGACTGAACAAATTAATGGATTAATGAGGCAAGGTCAGTGAGTTGCTTAAATGTCTTCATCCACAAACCCTCACTTACTGTATATAACCCTCATGTTTGGAGTCTCAGAGATCACAAAATCATTATCTTGAAAAAAATACTTAAAGTAACATTGAAATATCAGATTGACATTACTAGAATGGAATGTGCAATATATATTGGTTAGTGGTTGAAATTAGAGAATTTTTGTATTTATTTGTATCAGTCGATACAGAAAATGTTATGGTTCATGCTCATTTCCTCTATTTTTATGTTTAGATTATTTAATGCATCAACTTACTTAAAATTAACCTTCAAAAATTCTAATAATTTAAAAACCTAAAAATGTAATTGTTAAATTGTAATCTTTCGCATATCTCAGAACTAATATAAATTTTAATACTGTAAATTACAATACTGTGTGATGCCTAATTCAGTCGAATTGTTTAAAATAAGTCATTTTAGTTTTAGTGTTTTATTGTTTATTTATTTGCACAGTATAGTATAAAACTTTTTGCTGGCCATTTATAATTTTTCGACCATAATATGAAAATATTGGGTTATTGATATCGCCTTGAATAGAAATGCCAGTGCTTTTTCATTAATTGAAATAAAATAAAATTAAATTAAACTTAAAAAACTTGGCCTTGGCAACTATCTGAAATTAAATAATTTTAAGTACTAAAATGACTGACTAAAACTAAAAATGAATGAAATTAAATCTAAATAGAATCTAATAAAAATGACAAAAGCACAGAATTACTAAAATAAACTAAAATTAAAATGAAAATTGAAAAAGATAATGAATAAGTATAGAAATAATACTAAAAATAACACTGCTGACTGCCGGGTTTTAAGTACTTCTTAAAATAATATGAAGGGAAAACAGGTTAATTTCAAAATTAGTATTATTATTTTTTACATTTACATCATTGGAATCTGATACTGAAAAAAAAAAAAAAAAAAAGAAAATTCAGGGTTAAAACTTCTCACCCTTTCTGTGGTTTCTGACCTCATTATCTCTGACTGTAGGTTAAATCTTGCTGTATTTTTTGGGCCACAGCATGAAACATTTCTCCAGAAAACACTGTAATTAGTGCTGCTGTCTCAGAGCTCCTCCTTCCCCCAATTACTCCGGGAATTAAGAGGTTCCTGAAAAAAGCGTGAGTACTGGAAGCCTAAGATGCGCACACATATGCACGCATAGAGCAACCCCAGAGAGTGTCTGCATGTGCGGCAGAGTGTTTTTTTTTTTCCTGATTGTGACAGTCGAAGCTATTTAGTAATTTAGAGAGCTGCGATTAGACACACACTGATTATATACACACTGATTAAGCACACCGTGAGTGTACACACACTGATTACACAGAGATTTCACACACACTCTGTCATGAGCCAGCTGCTGTCCTGTGGAAAGAGGGTCAGCTAGGGCAATGATTATTGTACAGACGGATTCTCCATCACACAATATATTTCATATAGTATGAAAAAGGGATTATTAATGACAAATCATTAGAAAAGAACTTGCATTCTTTTATCTCCATATTAGTGAAACTCACTCTTAGAGTCCAAAATAGAAGATTTCCGACAGTGACTTGCACTCATGCATGTTTCTCATGCATGTTTCTGTTGACTGTCTCAAGTGGTTAGATGAGTTTTAATTGGCTTTTTTATTTGTATTTGCTGGGTGAACTCCTATGCGTTATCTGAGATGAGAGGGAAGCCCTTGGGTTTATGAGTCTGTTTTCTTTCTTTTTTTTGTACTCTTCTCACTTTATCCTCATCACAAGCGACTAAGCAGAACATTGAACGTGACAGTGCACTTTAGTTTGGGCAGAAAAATGAGCTCTGGGTTGCCAGCTCCTCTGTGTCAGTTCCCCTGCACCAGGAGCTCAGGGGAGCGCGGAGGTTCATTAACTCTAAAGAAAACAGTCAATTTCATTTTGTGCCGTGTGATGCCAGTGCAGGTACCCACACGACACCAAGCTAATTTCTTTATTACTTGGCTGTTTCTGTGAGAGGAATGCAATAGCAAATCTCACAGTTTTTATCTGTGGTGTTGAAATCAGGTTTATTTAAGGAATTGATGCATCAGACTGGTGAGAATTTTTTGTGTATTTGCAATATTTTTAATATTTTTGTTCCCCACTTGCATCTTTCACCACACAAGTCAATTTTCATATTCTTTTACACCAATTTCTCTGTCAAACCTCATGTTGTGATTCAGTGTTATGCATTAAATTAACACTGTAAAATGTTCTGTTAATCATTATAAAGTGTATGATATTTTATGCTGCTGTTCATCTATTCATCAAGGAATCCTGAAAAAAGTATTACCATTTTCACAAAAATATTAAGCAGCACAACTGTTTTCAACACTGATAATAACAGTAATGTTACAAGATCAGCATATTAGAACGATTTATGAAGGATCATGTGACACTGAATACTGCAGTAATGGCTGCTTTAAATTCAGCTTTGCCATCACAGGAATAAATTACTTTCTAAAATATATTTAAATAAAAAGCAGTAATTTTAA